TCGGCCTTTCGCACGAATTTTTCGCGTGTTGTGGCCAAATAGGTTACGCTGAGGGACTGCTGGGTTAGCTGTCCGGAAGAATATGAATTTTGCACGTTGACGCCAGGCTGATTTCATGCCAAATCAAATAGCACCTCATTGATTTCAAGAAATGAACACCAGAGAGTCAGACTTTTAGACGCAGAAAAAGTCATAAAATTTTCGTTTTTTGATATGTCGTATCATCAAGATAAAATAGTAACCAACAGTCACCTGTATCTCCGGCTGGCAAGCGGCACCTTCCAAAATAAGCTGAGTATGAAAACAGGTGGAAAAATGATCTCGCTGCTTGGACATCACGAAACGACTTAACCTGCATTTATAAAAAAAATTCTAGACAGAGACTAGAGATTCTCATCAATCATTCGAAATTTCACAAAAAGCTGTTTCATCAGGATCAATTATCAAGTACGTATCACTCCAAAATCGGGTTATCACGTGTTTGCTTCAGTGTGTTAGAAACCCGGTATTCAAGCGAGATCCACAAGAACACAAGTACGCCTATCTGAAAGCAGAACGGCGAATTTTGACGGATATCGAGTCGTCATACAAAATTAGAATAATACAAAGAATTTCTTCATCGTCCTATCTGAAAAAAGAAATGTACAGATAATTGGGACTGAGACCGAAGGTCATCAGGAAGATCCCCATGTTGAGTTCGAACCCGTTCCATGGCCGCCCCAGCAAATGTATAGGCACAGTACTTCTTTCGATACCCACGCCATATAACTGATTGTGAATTTTGGTATGCTACGTGTTACTTAAACATTGACAATATCAAATGTATTCGGTCATGTATGTGGCTGTCGCTCACCGCACATAGCAGAAAATAGTTTGTTCGCCCTATTGGGTAAGGCCCGGCTCTCGCAAAATGAAAGAAGTGTAGGCCAGAGGGTGGCATCTTTCTGAGAGAATTATTGCGGATTACTGTGTTAGTGTTTATGGAAAGGAGGTAGAGGTATGTAGAGAAATACTGCTTGTTTTCGGTCATTTAATGGTTGCCGTTCACCCTCACAGCACACAAAGTGAGTCTGCTTGTTCTCCCGTTTACAGTTATGTATGCATGCCTCACCTTCCATACAACCAATATATACTTTCTGCAGTTGAGTTCTTCCTCTTTAGCTATAGAGCATTCAACTTCCGGGTGAACTTTGCGGACAAGTATGGTGGTAAGGGATGTTACGGCAGTCCGCTTAGAAGCTTTAATTCTAGATTGCCCAGAGGAAAATGCATTTTAGAAGGCAGATTTGTCTGGAGGAGTCACTCATTTACGAATTACTTTGGTTTTAACAGAAGACTCGTCTTCACTTGTGGTATGAGAAGTGCGACTCTTTTTGAAGGAAAATGTTAGAAAAACTTCCGTTTGTATGAATTTATCCTAAATACAACCGGAAATACCAGAGACATTTGAGTAATCGATCAGCGTGCAATTTATTTCTGGGTATCGAGTGACTAATTACTAATCAAATCTCTTGAATTAAAGTAATTTCCATTCCAGTCTGTTTACTGCAAACAAAGCGGTTTAATGTTATTGGCTGCTCGAATTCACTCACTCTTGCCGAGAGTTTATAAAGACGTCTCAAACCCACGAAAGGTCAAGAACCTGTTTACACCCGCTCAGCTGGAATCCCCAATGGAATTATCCTAGGGATAACGGGCTACCTGATCAACCCCAAGGAGTGCAAAACCGGTCGTGGGCTGTCGAAAAGTTTTCAGCATCCTTGTGAGTAGTGCATTAGATCTATAGAATGTGCAGCGATATCTCAAATTTCTGGCTAACTGAAACATGAGGCAGTCTGGCGAGAAATACACTCATTTGCAGATCAATTTGGTTTTCACGAGACTCAAATGAATCTCTCGTTTATGGTATGCATTCCGTTGCGTTGACGAAAATAATTCACTCAGCCCCAGTTACTGAAATGAGACGAAGATGCAAAGTATTATGGATGATATGTAACTGAATATTGTCCCTGAACACTAATCAGTATGAATCATGTGGTGAGTAGATAGAGGGCCTCCCAGGTGTTGGTAACGTTAATTACACTTGTGATAAGCGAGTCATCTTTCCGGTCCGCTGAATGAAAATAGTGAACTTGTATTCAGACAGTCCTGGATCGATACTTCATGGTCGTCCGGTGATAACCTGGCTCATCCTCATGATCATTATCACCATCCTCAAGATAGACAGCACAACAGTGTTCAACGCTGATGCTCCGCCTGTCTGTCTGCAGTTCGTTCACAGTGGAAAGCAGAGGACGAAGGAAAGTAAGTTTATCAATCAAACTTCGAAACAACAGAACAACACACTAGCGTGCAGACTAAACATTCACCTGTCATGTGAAATAACTTACTTAACGCGAACCATATAGGGTTCCGAAAATCGAAGTTAACCTGTTTAATCATGACTCTACGAGGGCAACAGAATCCTGAAAGCAACTGATAGTCATTATCCTTTTGGATAGAACGTAATGTCGCAGAGTCGCACACTCTTGAAAAAAAATAAGAGGGGAGAAAAGGTGTACACGTCCACACAGCGTTGCTCATAGCACCAAACATTCAATCTGGGTGGAAACAACAAAGACGAAAATAGAGCCAGATGTTTGCCAGGTAATCTTGCAACAACGCACATGACATTGGGCCTTCTCTAAGATGACGATTTTTCCGCCCGAAAAATGTACAGATCATCATAGAAGTTGCAATGCTTGGGTGACGGAAGTCCACACCAAACGACAAGTCGATTTGCCGAGAAAGCTTTCCAGATCCTCTCGATTTGAAAAAAATGCGTGCAATACGTACTTCGCCAGGCACATTCATACTTCTCACGGATGACTACGGTCTACGCACTCTTGCAGTATGGAAAGACTGATATATTGCAACCGCTAGGATGAATTACTGGCCTTCGTTAGACAGATAAGCATGCCGGTATTCGGTTTTTGTAAACTGGTGATGGTGGTGATTAAATGTCTCACAAAAGGACATCAAAAGATTGACTTTTTCCGGACGGCTAGCAGTTTCGTGCCGAGCTGCTTACTTACCTTTCGTCTAACTACGGAGAAGCAACTCGTGCCCTTGATGCCGCGTTATCGCTCCACTGTCGTTGTGCTGAATCAACCGGGTAAATTCGGCATATGCACATTGTTTTAAACTTACACAATTAATCGTGTTTGACATATCGACAACTATTCACATTTCCGTGAAATTCAATCGTCAACGTGTCAGTTTTAAAGGGCTCCCTCCATGAACATTCGCATAGTCCAACCCCTAGCGTTTGATAACACAGCTTGGTCTGCGTTCGAAAAATTTCTTTTGCATTTTTAGCTTGGTAGAGACTGGATGCCTTTGAAACTAAGCGATTTATGCTTAGTCCGCTTGTTGTTCTACCGTGATAAACCTGTAATCAGAACGCCCATATGGAATAGACCGATTTAGGGTTTTCGTCATACGTTTTTTATCACTAGGAGCCGCAAGATTGGTCTTGATAGCATATGCACCAGGTTAACAGCGCCACCAACTGAAATGCCTTCGGTGTTTTTTCTTTCGACATTTCGGACAGTGCACTCAAAAAAAAAACAATCCACGAATGTGTTCCAGCATGGTGGGTTGTTTGATGGTTTCGGTAATTCGGTAGGAGTGCTCCAATATTCCGTTTAAGCTCTTCACATTCTCTCAGAATCAGCTTAATTGTCTGAACAGCTTGCTACATTCAGGAGTTGTGCTCAGTTGGGTCAAACTGAACAGATAAGAACAATCAGTATAGTTAGTTTTAAGTTGTACTGTAAGCATACGTATTCAATAGGCTTTTTCGAATCACGCCGATCAGGGGAAACGAACTGTATCTAAAGAGAATAGATAAGCAGTCTGATTCGATATGTTATTTCGAGTGCGGTGATGCGGTGTTGGACTGGTGAATGGAGCTAAATCCGTCTTTTTGGGATACGATAAAGACTAAGGGGCGAACCAGCTAAGTGTGAGCGACATCCGATTTCCTGTTATTCTGTACGCTCAGAAACTTCAGCCAACTCTCGATTCAGATCAAATCTTACAGAGGTTATTAGTTTCCGTCTGTCTTCCCAACAATCACAGTGGAATTAATAAACGACAGAATGTCGGAACTCGTTATCGTTATAGCATGGAACGTCAGATAAAATATTGTATACAACTGTATGGCTGTAATCAATTTCTCACATAATCTCTACCTTTTTCTCAGGTTGCTCGTTGCTTGCACAGCGAGTGCTAAAACGACCGACGTCAGCACTGTACGTTGTAACTTATGTATGAACAAGCCATGGTGTTGTATCAAATATCAAAGCCATAGATGTGCAAGACAGTGTGAATGCCCTGCTGGTACCAACGGAGAGGCTGATGACGATATTGCATAATGGATGTTATTACGTAACAGTGGCCCGCATTTGGTCAGACGACAACGTTCAACTGAAGTATACTGTCCGAAAAAAATAGTGTCACTGCTGTCCTCCTAAAAACGTGAGATGGACGTCTGTGCAAGACCCTTGTACGGGTGGACCGTCCGTGTTAGAGGCACTTGTGTTCCGAGTTTACACGTAGTCCTACAATGTCGAGCCAAGCGTATTTTTTCACCCAACTATCTCGCAACTTGGTGACCTCGAAGTACATTTCAACAAGTTAGTTATCAGCTCTATGAGACCAATGGGTGGCATGGATGACCGTTGTCATGCGTGAAACCAGCATTATGACGCGCCAAAGACTTGAATCATTGAGAATACAGAAATGGACACTATGTCAACCACCACAGGATAACAGCTGGAGAATGATCGCGAAAGATTATCTCTCGTTCACAATGATCTTGTCTCACCAATCACACCATTTTTACTTGCAAAACCACCGGTTTCGGTAGCTGGAACTGCCATAAACGCCTGCGTGGTGCTTGACTGAAGGATCGCTGAGGCTAACTTGAGGAATTAGAACAGAAATTCAATGGATAGGCATGACCAGTTAGTTGATTTCTTCAGTTCAGAAAAAGGATACAAATAAGGTGAACAGACAACTAGGAGAAAAAGGAGAAGCAACTGTATTGGCCAACATGGAATCGACGACAAGACTGTCGGATCAAATAGCGCAGCAGAGTGGCGACCCGGCACGTTGTGTAAAACGTGTATACATATGAATAGAAAAACATTCTGTACAATGGCTGAAATGATGATGTAATGGTAACCAGGTCATCCCTGATGAACAAGAAACAGCCAACTCGTTCCACAAGCAGATAACGAATAAAGTGACGCAAGGTTAGGCTGAGAAAGCACTCAAATGCATGCTGCAAATGTTGCTTACTGAAATAATAGGAATTAAATCAATACCAACACTTCACAATACATTACCGCCACGAAGCAGTTCCAAAGTCGACCAGAACAGCTGAAAACTTCGACATGAAAGTAGGCTTTTTCGCATAGAAATATGGCGAAAAACTATTGAAGTTAGTAAAACAAACCAGTGGAGATAAAATAGAGGACGAATTCATTTATATAAACATGTCTGAGAATAAACGGAAGAGAAAATAGAGATGAGCCCACAATATCCTGTAAAAAGATTAGGGCTAAATGCGAGACCGTCGGTTGCATGCTTTTGGGTGAATTTGCAGAGTAGGTCATCCACAAAGCAGGTTTATCTTTCCCGCGCAGGGCATCGACGACAACCGTGGCGCTGCTGTCCGAGTTATCTGTCAAAGAAAATCCTCAAGTGCGCTGGGTTGAACGACAGGTCATACGAACACCTTAGCCAAAGCGTCTGCGCCTGCACTGGCCATGAAGTGTTTGCTAGGGTGAAATGCCACCGCATGGATCGATTCACCAAACTTCTTCCGGTGACTGGTTATTTCTTGAATGCAAGTTCGCTTGTTAATATTCCACAGACGAATCGAACAGTCATGACCTGCGAACACAGATACACACACACAGACATAAAAACGAAGGGTAGATAGAATAGACAAAAAAAGGAATAAGTTGGCACACATCGATCTGTTCCCATGTACGCATGTCAAACGGGAAAGAGCGAAACTGACACCAGACACACCGTTACGCGCGAAAAGTCAACTTATTGACAACAGGTAGTCATTGTAGTGCAAAACGCCATTCGATAACAAGTCGGATAAAAATTCGAAACGGTACAACCGAGTCCGTGGTCTCTCTTTTACTGTAAAGTTGCAACCGACACCAGCTTAAGTTTAATTTCACGTTCAGCTTTCAGAGACGGCGTACAGTGAAGGATTAGAAGTATAAATCAAGCAACTCTACGCAAAACTGATAAACACAGATAGATCCACCGAAACATCCCTCATTCAGACAAGCAATAATACATGTGTCACGAAGGCTGATAACCATATAACATGGGGACTTCGTACCACGATGGTAGTATGCTTAATTAAAGGTTTTCCGAAAAAGACTGTCCCCAGCGGACAACCACCACCACGCAGAAAGAGGATAGCTCACGTCTAATGGAGTGAACTTGTTTAGAGGTCAAACTTGCAATAGGTCGAAAGTACTCTCTTCTGATAAGTTTCTCTCAAGAGAACTACCGTGACCCATGAAAGAAGTGTGATCTCTGACTAGTATTCAAAGTGGATTACGAGACATAAGCCATGAATCCCTAATTATTCGTAACTGAAACAACAGTCCGGTCAGCGACACAAAGTTCCTGATTTGGGTTTATTTTTATCGTTTCAACCTGACTCAATAATAGCCACCAACGCAGCGATATCACACGTTAGGACGGTTGATATTTTTCGGTTTTATGAACTTCGTTAACTACTGCTAACTAGCAATCCGGGCCTCGTAGATAACACTCATTCGTTAGATTGCTGGAAAAGAAAGAGCGCATTAAGATAAACAGTAAAAATAGCTAGTTCTAGGTCTCCGGTTCGTTCCAATCAGTGGTAATTAGAAAAAACGCATCCGCACCGCACCGCACCGCACCAACCTCAGTTGACTGCTCGCACCCATCCAAAGAGAACTTGGATGATGTTTCACTGTCAATTGCTGTATGCGCTGCGGATGGCCGCTTGAACTTGACAACCAACGGTTCGATGGGACTTAGGATACGAGAAGTGATCTGGTCTCTCCATAACATGAGGGATTACAACCCTTGTTTGCTAGGCGGGGCTTAAGTTCGTAGATGGAATAGAGAACTAATTTTTCATTTTACTTCGGTTAGAAGGCTTAAAAGGTTAAGCGGGATTCATGGAACTCACTGAGGCATATCCACGAGTTTTCCACGAGTCAGTCCCAGCACCATTCGGGGCAACCTTCTAACAGGAGCAGAACACAATCTACACAGGGTGAGCTAGACGAATAAGGCAAATACCTGCAGGAATGATTCGGTGACGTCACGCGCTGACTGATGGATTGATCAGATACCCGTACTGCCATTATTACTGCTATTACGATTAGGTGTGGATTCAATGCATCTGGCAGAAAATAAGGAGCTAAACGTGAAATAATGCGTGGGACGGGCAGTCACATGCTACGAGTCAACCAAACCTCCTCCCTCAACAGTGTGTTTCCGGAGGCGGCTAACCCTTTTATATTGACCGCTTTAGTAGGTCTTGTCGACCGAGTGTTATGGCCCTTATGGAACGAAGTCCGATCTTTATGGTGGCAACAGTTAGGCAAGCTGGTTATATTTTTAGCAGGTAAGCCGCCCATCTCAAAAAAAAAACAGATAATAAACGCCAATTCTAAATCCAAACCTATGAACAACTGACCTGTCGCAATAACATTTACAGCAGTGGTGAATAAGCCCCATTAGTGGTAAGCAGGAAGAGGATACACGTTTCAGCTTGAGAGTGAAAATGGCAGATAAAGTACGCATTCTAATGTTCTGGTTCAAAACATCAGACATAGATGCATTCATCGCTCTAATCCTGCCGTATGTTCATAAAAGAATGAGATGAAGCATAACTAGGGACTCCAAAACTGCTTGTCGTAGGCATCTACATCGATTGATCAGAAAGCGCTTTGGGTTAAGTCATTTTTATTGCGCCGCTGTTTGATACCCACATGGGGGGGCTAAGTCGTCAACCGAAAATGAGTAACCTTGAAGTTCGATTTGTTCAAGCATGGATCATGAGGTTGCAAAATAAAAGCTTACTTGCAGAAATAAGGTAAGCTCCTTGAGGGTCCAAACTCAAAGAGGTCACGGCATCCAAATGTGCCACCATACCATGGACACATTTTCCGCTATTGAGATCATAGAAACGAATGTGTCTGTCCTCATATGCACCTACGGCAAGTGACTGTTGAGGATGGACAACCACGCACGTCACCGCACCAGGTTTGAGGGAGGATACGTCCGTGTTAGAAGAATCTATGGGTTGCCAAAAGCAAAAATACCAATAAAGACTAGCCCTCCGGAAAGAAGAAATAAAATAACGCGAGTAGTGTGAGTGTGACGTTGGATGTAAATCGATGTGGAATGACAAAACATCGATGGACGAGTGAACTGTTCATTAGAAATGGCACCAAACACCCAATATGTTCGTAAAAATGAGTAGAAATGGTGATTCCCTTCCAAATCTGTGGTTCGGGCGCAAACAAGGCACGACAGTTCGCACAAGAAGGATCACCTGGATGTGTGAACAGTAATCCATAACGCAGTGAGCAACTACACTAAAGGGCAACGAGATTTTTTTTATAAAAAAAGGCCGTGATACATCATATTCCTGAAAATTCATGGGGGGACTTAGAAGCACTCTACCTCTCGGAGGGGGTTCCCCTCTTTAAAAGCTGCCAACTTAGGAAAGTATCAGACCATCGACAGAAAACGGAAGTTTTATCGAAAAAAGAAGAGAGTAGTCTTTCTTATTTCGTGAGCGACAAGCCTTCAAGTGACAGTTCTGCCAGGGATTATAGCACAAAATGACGGACAGCATTCGTTGACATAAAGATAACCTTCTTCTGCAGTTTCGCTGAAACCCTCCTCATTCTGCAACGGATACGGTCCTTCAGCAAAATCAGTATGGAGCTCACACCTAAATTTGCGCCAACGCCAAAGTCAACAAGTGGAAGGAATTATCAGAATCCCCCGATAGTACTGCTTGTGTGGGCAACGACGATTGTTGGAATGTAGCAACTAACGAGGCATGAGATCGTACCATGTGCCGATCTCCCCAACTCTAAGTCACTTTTCAAGGAAACCACACTAGCAGGCATCAGCTATCGATCACTCTCACTTCGCTTTTTTCCATCACGCCGACGGGGAACAGACCAATTTATAACACGCGCCACGATGTGATCATTTTCGACTGTTTACAGTTCACTTTGGGAATGCTGGAGGGCTTTCAGACGGAATAAAAAAATTGTCTGCTTTGATTATATGAACGCCCATCAACTGGTAACGGTTCATAGGTTTAGTTCTGGGCCACTAGCAGTTGCTGACCGTGAAATACTACGGCTCATTGACCAACGAAAGTGGGGATGGTACACTGACTGAGATTCAAAAAATACACGCTACGTGCCTTATGGTAAAATTTGGGGAAAGTATAGAAAGCAGTATACTATGACACATGATTACAAGTGCATGACCTGGTTTAACAAATGTCTGCGTAATATAACAGGACAGAGACAAAACCAACAGAATGAACCGCTTCGTTAGGACGGAGAATAGAAAGCTACAGTAAGATCAAGTTCACAGGGAACAGAATTTCCCAGTACCAGATATAGGACGCAATCTATCGATTTGTCTGTTCACGTCAGCGCGGCGCGCGATTAGTCGATTGTTAATCCAGTATGGTGTTCTGATTGGTCGGTTGTTTGGCTGGATGTTTCGCTGCTTCTCGGTTCATTCCCAGACAGGCTAATCGAATGGATCTAGTTGCCACAGTGCGTGACAGAGAAAAATTGGGAGAGGCCAGGGAGACAGGCGCGACCGGAATACGCTTACGCAATGAGTAGAAATGCGCGTATGTGGCTGGGATAGTTTGAACGGAGAAGAGAGTGGGTGGGTGTGAGCAACTGACAAAGCAGCTTATCCAAACCGCCATAATGCAACACAAGATGAAGCATGTAGTGAGGTTGAGGTGCGAGTTCTTTGCCTCAGGACTGAACGTGTTCAAGCCCAGTGAACGATGGCGCGTCTCGATTGTAGTCGATAATTAGCTGCGCATCACACACAAGGAAGCGAAAGTGCGAACAGCATATTGCGCTGGGGCAGAGAAGTATTACTGATGGGGACTGTACCGTCTGCGTGCCTCACATAACAACCTAATGTGGGCAGAGTTGGACAGCATGTTCCAGTCCACTGTATTATGCGAAATCGGTGATATGAAAACTCAATACCACATAGACAATTGAACACCAGCACCTAGTGGTTGAATACAAGAATAGTGGTGAAGAATATTTACAGGAAAAACATAAATGATTCTATCTTAGGGTCAATTTGGTGCGCAGTTGTCTTGCAGCTTGTAAAAATTGCGGGAGCTGAATTAGTTCCAAGTCACTCATGCCTAAACAGAATCAACTGGACTTGAATCACAGTTTCCGCTCAGGCTTGTACCACTTTAAAAACATGAGACAAGCAACAAAACTAGGTCTCCAAAGGGCCAGTCTCTCGCAACCCTCTCAAGATGCTCGAATAGAAACTACCAATGAGAACACTAATGAGGTTTTTGGATGGCATCTTTTGCAGCGTCCTCGGCTAAGTGTGGAGGAGTTTTACATGCGCTGCATTCCAGAAGGTGTCGCAACAAGGGTATCCAGACTATAGGTGTTTTTCAAGTTACGATCGGTTACACCACTGTTCCCATTGTCCACATTCGACTCACGAACTCGAGTTCTTTACAGAAAGACGGTAAATAAGCAAGACTAGGGTATGAAAAGTTTTTGAAGCTAGTTTTTAATCAGTTGTTAATGCTAAGGTAGG